AGGTTGGATTCTAGCGTTCTCTGTGGAGTTAGCTTCATTACCTGGGTGATAATTTTTCTCCCTTCCCATTGTCCTTCTTCTACACAGTCCAGTCACCTTTTACTTGTTTTGGTTGCCTTGAGTGTCTGCTTATGAGTAATATTTTACAAGCCTACCTGCTTGACCCCTTAAATTTGGGCTTGATAACCCACCTCTCTGCTCCCATAGTACACACTGCTTTGTCTGTCCTGTTCATTAGATTGGGCTCTTTGAAGGAAAAAACAACCCTGTGTTTTCAAATATAGATTTACAGGAAAAAAAAATCTATATTTCTGAAAAACAGAAACCCAACTATTCCTTGATACATGTTTTATTCCCCAGGGATTAGCAGCAGCTCTTCTCCCAGTTCCAGATTGAACATGAGAAGGAAGAAGTCCATATGCTGCAGAGCCCACTGTTACCAGGGAGGCTTCATGGTGCAATGGAACTAGACTTTATGTTTAAAGCTAATGTGTTTGGGTTTTAATCCTCATTTGGTAATTTTCTTTTGACTCACTCTCAAATGCAATACAATGGGGAAAATCTACCTAACTCAAGAATTATTGTGAGGGTTAAATGAGCTCACAGATGTGAAAATTCTTTATAAAAAATGAACCTGCAGATATGAAAGTTCTCATTTATATTCCCAAAGGAGTTGACTGTCTTTAGTACATGGCTGAGGCACATCTCCACTGGGAATGGTTAAGGAAATGCAGTAATTACTCCCAAATTGTTCCTTGTCCCTCACTGGAAATGTGTGACCTTGGTCTCCTGGGTTCCCAGCCTGGCTGGTAAAAATGGATACCGTTGTTGTTGGCTGGATCTGGTTTATAAAAGAGAGAGTATACCTCCTTCCCACTTCAGGGTTGAGCTTGTGACTTTTCTTTCTTTCCCAGCTCTAACCCTTTTGGAGAGAAATTGAAATATTAGTTCATACCTTAGAGCTGACAGTTTTTGAATTTATTACTCCTGAGCTAGGTAAGGGCAGTTCTTGTAGGCTGCAGTCAGCAGTGTGTGTGTGTGTGTGTGTGTGTGTGTGTATGATTTATGCCAAGCACTTTATATAAGTTTGTTGTGTCATATTGAATAACTTAGATGGATGTAATAATTATAATTCCTTGAGGTTTGTACTTTCCTCTCTAGGAAAATATGATCCCTTTTACAGTTTTGCTGAAGATCTGGCCTGCATCCAAACTATGGGCACAAACTTCCAGGTTTAAAACAGTGGTCTGTATTTTTTGCAAATAATTGTAAACATGTGTGTATAGAATTTTTTTATTATGTTCTTTCAAATATTATAACATATGCTTTTCATGAACTTATTTCATTGGCTAAATAATATTATTTCCAATGGCTATGTACCATAGTTGTTTTAAACTTTTCGATATTGGCTGAAATAAGGTATTCCATCAAAAACATTGACCAGGGTCTGACCTGGAGCCCCAAGAAATTCACTTCATAAGCAGCTGTCTTTTTATTTATTTATTTATTAAAAATAATTTATTGATTTCAGAGTGGAAGGGAGAGGAGGAGAGAGATAGAAACATCAATGATGAGAGAGAATCACTGATGGGCTACCTCCTGCATGCCCCACACTGGGGATCAAGCCTGCAATGAGTCATGTGCTTTGACCAGGAATCGAATTGTAATCTCCTGGTTCATAGGTCAACACTCAACCAGTGAGCCATGCCAGCCTAGCAGGCAGCTGTCTTTTTAAATTCATTGGTTGGTATTCTAGTTTCTCTATTCACTTTTGGTCATCTGATTAGGGACTGAGGCAATACATTTATCTAAAAGCTTTTGGGAAATTACAAATCCAATCTTCTGCTCTTTAATCAGGAGCAGATGTCTTTCTTTTGGTCAAATTATGCTCTGCTAGAGAAAATATAATATGGTGGTTAGAAACATGGGTTTGATATCTGATAAATCTGAGATTGAATGACCTGTCCATATTTCCATGCTGAATATTTTAGGCAAGTTATTTATACTCTCTAAGCCCTAGTTTCCAAATGGTTAAATAAGAATAATGCCTTTTTTTGTGGCCCTATTAGGCTGATATGATAGAAAGTGTATGTCACGCCAGTTGGCCTATATTCCACAATAAATATGTGATTAATAAATGGTCTTTATTATAATTGTTATTGTCATTATTATTGATGTTACCATCTAGGCACATATCTTGAAACCATAGGTTTTCATTCATTCTCAAACTTTCAGATTTATTTCCTAAGGTTCTAGAGTGCTTTCAGGCAGCAAGCACTGTCTTCCTTGAGGATATAGTTGATGAAATCATGTAATACAGTGGGAAGAATTTAGTCTTTGAAGCCAGATAGACCTGGTATCAAATCCCAGGTTCACCATATACTAGTGCTATAACATTGGGTTAGTTTCATCACTGAGTCCCAATTTTCTCCTCCCTAACATGAGAATTAGATGCCTGTATGGGAAGAAGTGAGCAGTATTTGAAAAGCACCTGGTCCAAATTAGGTGATACATCCTATTTTATTGATAATGTGACTATATCTAGCCCCATCACAGCCATCTCATTGGCAGCCATCTAAGTCAAATTGGAAAGATAGTAAATTTCCTTTCAGTGTCTACAGCCTCTGCTTTCACTCTACCTATAACCCCCACCCGTCTCCCCACTTTGTCTTAGTAGGCCAATGGCCTTATTCAGTCATCCAAACCTGCTCTCCCCTCAAATGTACGGCTCCCAGCCATTCCATCTCAGTGAGAGTGTTGAACAGAGGACTGTCTCTGGAATACTTGCCTTTAAACCTAATCTGTAGTTGGGACCTTAAAGCCTTTTTCCTCTTGCTGAAAGAATTTAAGGTATCTGCAGGCTATTGAGGGTGGTATTTTGGGAAGGGATATGGAAGGCTCGATGCTCTGGAAGCCACACCACACAGGTATAGTTCTGCATGTCCCCTGAGAAAAACTGACCCAGATAATCTGAAGAATCTCAAGAAATTTAAGAGTGTGTTCCATTACTCATTTCCCACAACCCATGAAGACTGTGGGATCAGGTTTGGGTCTGAGCATTGGAATCTATGCAGAAAGCCTCTCTGCCTCTGGGGCTAAGTAGCAAACCATCTTCACCTCTTTCTAGGAGACCTGATGGTTAAGCATTCATTAATATACTGATTTGATATCTGGTTCCAGATATGTAGGGAGCCAGTCAGCTTCTTTGCTGTAGTCATTGAAAGTCATCATTTGACATGAAATTTTCCTTATTGGATTAAGTTGGTTCATATC